AGGAGGGAGTAGAGAGGGAGGGGAAAAAGGAGCTGATATCAAGGGCTCAAGTAGAAAGCAAAAGTTTTGAGAATGATGATGGCAACATATGTACAAATGTGCTTGACACAATGGCTGGATGTATAATTGTGATAAGAATTATATGAGCCCCCAATAAAATGATTTTAAAAAAATCTTGGCTTAACCTCGGTGTAAGACAGGGAGGTTCTGGTTTAGGGTGGTGGAGGTGGACCTAAGGAGTGAGGAGATGATGACCCTTGGGTTCACCACCACTCATTCTTGTTGTCTTTACCCACTTGGTGTGGGGCTTGAGACCAGTTGTCTTGGCTCATTGGACAGCAAATACTTGAAAATTTTAAAGCTTAACATTTTATTATTTTTGCTGTGGGCTCAGTTGTAGTGAGTCACGATTCAAAGTTTTCAGTCCTTTGTGTAGTAGATAAGGAGGTGTGTGTACATTTAGTTGACGAGTCAGGTTTATATTTTCTTGATGCTGTATTGAGTACATCAGAGGACAGTGCTTCTAGCCCCAGCCATGGAGAAGAGACAGGAGAAGACTATACATAGGTCGTTCATACAAACTCATTCTGTTTGATATTGACTCCAAGCACATGATGTGTGCAGTTTTGATTTACTTGGGATTCTGTTAAGTCTCTCTATTTTTCTCTCTTGCCTTAAGAAAGTGATTAAATATCAGACTTCTATCCATGGAGCATGGATCTTGACTCTGGAGTTTGACCATATCAGTACCTAGATTAATTTTGCCATGTTGTAGATCTTTTTCTACTTGAAATGTTAAAGCTGACCCAGATGAAGACTGAGCATGATAGTGGGACAAGAGGAAAGTCAAAGGAAATAGAGGAAAGAGCTAGGAGGCAGGGGGCATTTATAGAGGTCTAGATAAAGGCATGTACATATGCAAATATATTTATATATGAGGATGGGGAAATAGATCTCTGTGCATATACTTATAGGTTTAGTATTAATGTAGCAGAAGGACATTGGGACTCCACTCAAGTACTATCTCAATGCAAGAATATTTTCTTCTATTAAATTGG